ATCTAGTAGCAACATCGTTTTTTAGTTTTAACGGATTACAACCTTCATTAATATGCTTTTGCATTTCCAAAAGTTTATTATTAGCCTTGGTACTTCTATGAAAAAACTCTACAACTGCTTTAACCTTTTTTCGTAATGGTTTAACGTCTTCAATGTTCAATCCACTTTGCACTATTAAATTTATGGTATGCGCAAAACAACCAATATGCCCCCATTCCGTTAGTTTTATTGCTGCTTTTATATTAGCGGCGTTATCGGTTGTAATAGTACAAACTTTGTCTTCGATATCCCACTCATTAACCACCCTCAGTATGTCGTCTTTTAAATTTTGGGCGTTATGACTTTCATCATACGGCGCACATTCTAACAAATACGATTTCAAACTCCAATCTTCTGAAATAAAATGGGCAGTGTAACAAATGTAACTTCTCTGGCTATGCTCGGAAGTCCACGCGTCTGTAGTTAAAGCAACAGATTCACTTTTCGAAATTAAATCTTTTAATTTTTCTTGCTTTTTTTGATATAGTTGCGGCAAAAAAGAATTGGTAAAAGTGTATCTGCTAGGTATAACGTAAGAGGGCTCCAAACCGTGAATTAAGTTTCGAAAACCTGTGTCTTCAACGATGGATAAAGGCTGCAGGTCACGATCATATTTAAAATTAAATCATTAATCTTCTGCTGTCTCGATAAAGAAATGGGCTGTATCATGATGTGGCTTAAGATCGAAGATTGGGCCTGGACTCTTCTTTTCTTTGCAGCTGATATAATTGTCGAAGCAGACGTAGCCGAATTTGAACCTTGATCTACTATAGTGGTCTCAATATTTTCAGGTGTTGGTGCCGTTGGTGGTCTTGGATCCGTAGTAGAGGTAGAAGCAACGGTAGACTCTCCTTCTTGACTTTTATTAATAGGAGGACGTTTTGTCAAAATCGTTTGATGCCTCGATTGGAGATGTTTCTTCAAGTTTGACGTTGAGCCTCCCTTGTATGAATACTTGGATCCACAAATATTGCATTTCGCGCTTCCTGCAGAAACAATTGAAAAATGCAACCATATTTCGCTTCGTTTAGATGTTACTTCCATCGTAATGTACCCCCTTCTTCCTTAAACTATTTTAAATTAAAAATCCACGTTTCACAATCATACAATCATTGGGCATGAGAATTATAGTATACTACTGAAGTACTGACACTTACCTTTCAATGGCACAAAAATCGAATAAATAATACGCAAAATGTCAAAGAAATGGTATTGCTATTGGTCAATAACTAAATACACAATAAACTACACTGCACAATTCGACACCGTTAAACGTTTGTTGGACTGAGAATAAAAAAAAATAATAGTGCCATGCGATCTCAAAACTGCAAGTGTAGCACTTACAGCACCGGAAACGCAAAATCAAACACTAGGCAAAAAAAGTTCGTTTTAGGGATTTGACTAGTAACTACCTAAACAAATTTTATAGGACATAAACAAAAATGTGCGCTAGTCCTAGTACCTTTTACTTTGCCACTATTCAATATTCATTGATTACAATTACCATTGTTACGCGACTCATCCGAATGATAATAATACGTAGTATACTACTTCCCGTGCTAGGTGAACACGAATTTTAGCGCGTTAAAAGCAAAAAAACTTTCTACCGCGCTTCTCCCTCCTGCATCCGCACGTCGCAGCTCTTCAGTATTATTTTTCGTGCGCACGAGTGAACACGTTCTCTACAATTAATGTAGGTATCTTAACCGGAATTTTTTCAGTTTTTTGCAGCATTCTTTTACAGAATGAGTTCAAAAAAGATACGACAGCGGGAAGACTCTTTTAGTTCGGCGTCCGATACGGAAAATCTACGGCATGAAATTCGCCGTTTAAAACGGAAATTAAAAGCTCGACGCAACAGTCGAAGCCCTAAAGCCGTGTACACATCTACGCTGCAACGTGTAATGCAACATGTAATGCAATGTGGACGAAATTTGTTTTGTAGTGCAACAATTTGGCGCGAACTCATGTAAATATCGTTTCCACTCTGTTGCACTGTTGCAGTGTATGCTCGTGCGTGAACATGGACGCTCAACTTCTTGAGACGTTACAACATTTTACCTTAGCATGTGGTGCTTTCATTATAATGCAAGAATTAGTGACTGATAAAAAATCGCGAAGATGGTGGAGAACAGACATATATAAAAAACGATGTGGAGCTACTTTGATGTTAGATCTTAAATCCCAGGAGTTAAGCGGTCAATATAAAAATTTCATTCGCATGTCTAGTTCAGACTTTGAATATTTGATTCAATTAATTGGCCCACAAATAGCAAAGAAAGATACGCGTTTCAGAAAGGCGATATCTGTGCAGGATAGGTTAGCTGTGACCCTACGTTTCTTAGCAAGTGGAGACTCCTACTCCAGTCTGCAATATTTATTCAGAATATCGAAACAAGCGATAAGTCGAATTGTTCCTGAAGTCTGTGCTGCGTTAACACAAGGTTTAAGACATGAAATAAAAGTAAGTACCAAAACTGTATTTCATGTTAAATTACAAATCTATTTGAATTTATCAGTTATGCATTAGAGTAAATCTTCAAACTGAGGTTCTTCAGATTGTGATGTTTCTTCAGAGATCTGAGTGTATGAATGTACTGAAGATGAACATGGAGATGGTGTGGGGACTTCAGCTGTCGGTGTCGGAAGTGTGGAAGAATGCTGCCCGGGAATTTGTCCTGACTGTAGTTGATTAAAGAATGAATTCGTGTTATTCGAATATGTATTTGGTATGTGTTGTGCAAATGAAGTAGTTGATGTAGATGGTCCCATGTAGTGCATGTTTCCGGTATAGGTGGCCTCATAGAACCCACGGTCAGCTTGAAAAATGATATTGTGAATTGCATGTTGAACTGAAGCTCTAGTTATGTCTGAATATTTAGACATTTTATTTCCAATGAATCCACAAAAATACCGAACCTCTTCATTCTGAATACTCATTTGATTAGAAAGTGAATTAACGTTGTCTGAGGCCGCTTTTAATATTCCGTATGATTGCTTCAATAAGTCCAGTTTTTGGTCGGTGGGTCGTTTCTTCTTGGGTGGTATTGGTGCAGAACGTGGTTCTGCTTGATCGACCTTTCCCTCCGCCGATGTTTCGTTTACGTTTTTTTCATCATCAATGACCTGCAATTAAAAATGTGTTAACGATACAGAACTTAACCATACCTTTTTTTATTTCAGTTGCCCGATTCTCCTAATGAATGGATAAAAATAGCAGAAGAATATGAATCTCAGTGGAATTTTCCGCATTGTTTGGGTAGTATGGACGGCAAACATGTGGTAATTCAAGCCCCATTCAATTCTGGAAGCGAATTTTTCAATTATAAGCAAACATTTAGCATCGTGTTGTTCGCGCTAGTCGATGCCGATTACAATTTTTTATTTATTGACACGGGTTGCCAGGGAAGGATATCAGATGGAGGAGTGTTTAAAGATAGCGTATTGGGTAAAAAAATGAAGAGAGGAGATTTATTTTTACCAGAACCCACACCACTACCTGGACGAGTAAAAGCTTTGCCATACTTCTTTTTGGGCGATTCCGCATTTGCATTGTCAGAAAATTTGTTAAAGCCTTTTTCTGGAGAACATGCGGCTGGTACTTTGAAAAGAATCTTCAATTACCGCTTAAGTAGGGCGCGTAGGGTAGTTGAGAACGTATTCGGTGTAACATCATCTGTATTTCGTATTTTAAGAAAACCAATCGTTTTGGAACCAGAAAAGGTCGAACTAGTAGTAATGACTATTGCTTACCTCCACAATTATTTAAGGAGGAACGCACGCAATATTTATACTCCTCCGGGATCCTTAGATAAAGAAATAGACGGAAATGTTACCCCTGGAACATGGAGGAACGATAATGAAGGCAGATCAATGACTTCACTTAAAAACGTGCCCAGAAGAACATCACTTGCCCTCGATCATATTCGACATGAGCTAGGGGATTATTTTATTAACGAAGGGAAAGTTTCATGGCAAAATCTATATGCGTAAAATATAAATAGTAGGTACTTACGGTATTAGATCGTTTTCGCGGTTGGTTTCTTTCATTCAGAAAGGCCAGAGCATCATACGCAAACCATCTGCTTTTGTATACTTCCGCTGAACCTAAAAATGTATCTTTAAAACTACAATTTTATTAACAAATTCAACTATTAAAAAATGAAAAATCAGTATAGTTTTTTTTACGTAAATGAAAAAAGAGATTCATATTTACCTTTTCCAGTACCATGTGTATTTGTTTCTTTCGCTTTCTCACGTCTGTACGACGATAAAACGCTTGTCATCTTTTTTTTTGCAAATTTCGCCCGTACTGGCGAGAGCGTCTCCAATTTCATTCCAGGTATCTACCTTTAAATGCGTTTTCTTATAATTTTCATTTCGGGGATTCCATATGTTTTCTTTTTCCCGATACAGTTGAATAAGGAGAAGCACTTTTTCCTCGTCCCAATCGTCCATCTTTCAAATGCGCGGATATATAGTTTGTACGAATGCACATGCACGATAAACGCCGTCCACACTGCAACTGAAATTTCCTTTGATGGCGCGCCAAAAACCGACAATGATCGGATCGCGAGCGAACACGTTTTGCAACAAGAGCTGCAACGTGCAACATCTGTCCACATTGGTTGCATTACATGTTGCATTACACGTTGCACACTAGAGTGTACCAATCATAATGAACAGTGTTTATTCCATTAACATGCTACGTGTCGACTGTGGAGTTCCTCAAGGAAGTATTCTGGGCCCATTGTTGTTCAATATATATGTTAGTGACTTACATCGTTTTCTCCAACATGTTTATGTTCACCTCTACGCTGATGATATACAGCTATTAATAAATGCCAGTGTTGAAACTATTAATCAACGTATAGATGATTTGAACGAAGACCTAGACATTATCACCAAGTGGGCAACTGCAAACCACCCTAAGCTTAACCCCTGTAAAACGGTATTAATGCCGCTAGGTACTACAGGACAAATTAAAAAATTTTTCTCCGAAGTAACACATACAGTAGAGGTGCCTGGAACTAAAGTTGAATATGATACATCCATGAAGATCTTAGGTATGGTTTTAGATCAAAACTTGAGCTGGGAACTGCATGTGAACTATATACTAAATAAATCATACTATAAATTAAAAAAACTTATATAGATCTAAAGACGCGCTATCAAAGGAAATTAAACTAAAATTAATAAAACAACTAATATTACCTTTACTGAGCTACGGCGATGTGTGTTATCATGGACTAAATAAAAGCCTATCCATTAAAATACAAAAAGTCCAAAATTATTGTGTCCGTTATGTCTGCAACATACGTAAATATGATCGTATAACACCAGCACTTGTTGATCTGAATATGCTTAATATGGAAAAGATGCGCTTATTTAACATCCTGTGCTTTTTACATAAATTGATCATTGTGAATAAAAAACCAATTTACTTAAGTGAACAATTTAACATTCTTCAAAGTTTTCATACATATGGTGTACTCGTACTAACAATCTTTGTATACCCAAAGTTAACACAAAAGTGGGATACAGATCGTTTTATGTGCAGGCGGCAAAACTATGGAACAATTTACCAGTGAGTATACAATTGATTGGAGAGACTTTTACTCGAGTGTGCTTAAATATCATAAAAAATGATGTCACAAATTTTTGATAGATTCTTTACTACTCTTTCATTCTTCTTTTATTGTTGGTTTTGATTTCTTCTATCGCTATATTATTGTATTTTTTGGTGTAGAATGCCACTTATTGGCCCGTATGAATAAAAGTAAGCAAATGCTTATACTTGCAAAATTCAAAGTAAAAATGCTCGTAAGTGCTCCTTCGCACTGGGCGACGTAGCAGCGCTTCTAAGCAGGACAGGACGCAGTGCAGCGCTGCTAAATCATGCTAAACAGACCAGTATGAAAGGGCAGTTACGAGTATTTACTTTGAATTTTGTAAGTATAAGCATTTGCTTACTTTTATTCATACGGGCCATTGTTATGTAAGCTTGTAGAGGGGGGGATTGATGGCTGCAAAGCTTTTCCTACCCCTTAATAAAGAAATATTATTATTATTATTGAAAAACAAATAGATATAACAAAACAATCCAAATAAAAACTTTCGACCAAAAAATAAATAAATAGAAGATTCAACGCTTACTATAAGTTATATCTAATGCAGAAGTGAATGTTTTACATAGTAGGCCGGCGATTTCCATCATAACGCTTAATCTTCAACCCCTAAATCAAAACGCATTTAATTACTATTTACAAAGTTATTAAAGCAAAAATAATCCAGGAAATTAAATAAAATGTTTATTACGCTATATTGCGAAATGGTATACATGTCTATCGATCGTAACCTGTCTTCCATACGTATTTAATTGAAGTAATTTAATGTAAAAGTTTGCGATTATGATGAAACTTTTCATTATGTAAATCGTTGTTGTATTTACTTTTCCCCCATTCGTGCACAATATAGAAAACTGCGCAAAACTAGTTATGCTACGTGCACAAGATTCATTTCCTAAAATCTGTCATATCTAGTTGAAGCACTGAAAAAACTCCTGTGACTTGAAGTACAAAAAAAGTTAACAAAAACACCAAAACAAATAATGTATATTAAGTTCGAAGCTCTGATTGGCAAACGAGCCTCCGTCATAATTATCGTTTGGAAAGGCGTTGTTTTTGAATAACTATTTACAATAAATTTTCCTATTTTCCCAAAGTTTTGATCTTACTGTATGATTCTTCTGTATCAGTGATATATAAATCCTTGACGTCCTACTTCTAATTTTTTTGGCAGCTGTCGGCGTGCATCAAGAGTGAACCCACGACATGTCTGGTTCAGGTGTCTGGATTATAAACTACCAAAGGCAAACGAATCATTATTGACATGACAGGACGGACAGAGTGGGCGCAAGGACGCTAACTGTTAGTTATTAGCCACAGATAAAATACCCAACAGATTGCCAACCAAATGCAGTGTTACTAAATACAACCATAATGCAAATGCGAACTACGGGTTGCCTATAGGTCCCCAATTTCCAGTGAAAAATATAATTTTTTATTAAAGATTTTTATGAAACATGATACCGCTTTTTGCCACAAGAGGACTCACACTGAAATTTCAGTATCGGTATCTGTAGTCAACACTACACAAAATATGGTATGTAAACGTACTAAATTCCAATTATTCATTAACAGGGCGCTCTGATTGAGCGAAACGAAACACCGCCCCGTTTGTTTTTTTGTTTACAAGGCATACCCAAAGTTAATTTTTTAAGGTCTTCAAAATAATTTACCATTAAAAATATATTAAATTGGATGGTCCATAAATGCTGCATAACCCTCCCAAAAAATTAAAAAAAATGCAACAAACAATAATTACATATTCCAACTATAAAAGATTTTCTTTACTAAAATAACGTAAATAATGTCGACCAGTGGAATTATCTTCCGTCTAACGCAATTGCCGAATCATGTTTCAACTGGGCAATATTGCCGTAATCTGCGAGCTCCATCCAACAACCGCGCCGCACTCCGCGAACACCTGTGCTATCAACACCAGTTTAAATTCTAAAGACTTATCACAGAAAAATTGTTCAATTGATCTGTTGACTTATTTAAAGTAAAGCGGCCGACTCTAAAAGGAAAATTCACCTTAGCTGCATTTAACGTCGAGCGCATCGCGAAAAATGGTATTGTATAAAATTACACGATTTTCTCACTTCTGCATTTTCCTGTTATCCAACACTTCATAAAGGCACTAAGACACAGATAAATATCTGTGATAAAGGACATTTGCGAACTGAACTGCTGAAAATTTTGTTTTTAAATCGATGACGTATTTAAAAGAAAATTACTTACGACTCCAAAAGTGCATAATTGCCAAACAAAATGACAAAGTAAATAAATAAATTGGTAAACCGACGAAAAATGTCAGTGGCGGCTCGTGATCTCTAAAGTTGGTGAATCACACATCATTTTTTAGTCTCCTACAACCCCACCCCTCCCGATGACCTCCCCCATACTTTTTTGTTTGAAAATTATGTTGAGAATCTAAAATTAAAAAAAACACACAATTTATAGAATGTATGTAATGTATGTAATCATAATCACTTCACTCGTAAGTAAATCAAAACTACGGAATTAATTTAATTAATCAAACGTTTCCGCGCCGCGTTCCAATTGCAATTGCAAGCCTACTTTACGCCGCCTTGCTTACGGGAATAGCATACACATTACACAGAATCACAGTATTCCGTTGATGCACCTGATACGTCATAGTCATAGGATATACGTGTCGTTACCATGACAACCCTCGTAAACAAGCGGTACGGAATGAATCACGGCAGTCAAGGCCGGTATTGTGCTTCTCTTCGAGTGAAAACTAACATCAGACGCACGCAGCTTAAGTATGTTGTGTTGGTTGCGCTCTATTCAGGGGCTTGTTTCGTATATTGGGCTTTGAATAAGTAAACATTTCTGTGCTAATAAATATTGCTTAAACAACATGAAAAAAATTAGATTTGAGGTGAATCAGTGATTCACTTGATTCATGCCACCAGCCGCCACTGGAAAATGTTTAAAAATCTGAAAAGTTTTGTTATGAAATCGGTAGCGTATTTAAAAGAATATTACTTACGACTCCAAAAGTGCATAATTGCCAAACAAGGTGACACAGTAAATAAATAAATTGGTAAACCGACGAAAATGTTTAAAAATCTGAAAGGTTTTGATTAAATAAAGGCTTGGAAGTAAAGTTACTTACGGCGTGTGCAAGGGTGCTGCAACTGTTATGTAACTATTTATGCTGCATAATTTTCAATTTCGATTTGGCGGAAAATGTTGGCATTAATGACCATTTGCACTCCTTGTGAATTTTTGCGGTGAGAAGTAAGTCAATGAAAAATTTTTTGTGTTCTTCATTACCACAAAAATTTTCTGAATTAAATAAGTGTCGACTCTTCAAAGATAATTTTTTTCGAATGTCTCTTTCCCAGAACATATTTTTAAATTCATTGTGGAATATGGTCAAGCAGTCATTCACTAATTTATAAATATGTAGTGAAGGGGAGAAAAGTCCTTTTGAAGTGTCTTGCTTTTTATACATTTTGTTTGAAATATATAACTGAAGCTTGTGCACTTTGGAGTGAAAATTTTTCAGAACACGTTTCACAATCAAACTTTTTAGCGGTTTTGCTACAAACATAACCAGCAAAGTAGTTTATTGCACAATCTTCAATGGTGACGGGTTGCGCTATCTGAATTTCGGTGTCGGTGTTCTTTCCACTGTCAAGTTCTGAACATTCTTCACTACAAATGTTATCATTATCACAAATGGACACGCTTTCGGAGTTATGTTCGTGGGCATTCAAACTCAAAGTAGTTTGGTCAGGAGCGGTGCTTAAGTAATCATCTTCATCAATTTCACAGTTCGCGTATTCGGATGGAGTTATACAATTAATGACCGATGATCTAAATACTGTTCTAAAAACTCTACATGTTGGATTTCTATTGAAGCCACCCCTTTTGCGAACGACAGAAAAATAATTTTCGAGTACGTCCTGGCACAACCGATTCGTTAATATGTAATTAAATGTACTTTTTTTACATTCGTCATGAAGGAGTACAACGCCGTTGATAGTTTGTA